TATCATCTCCTTCTCTCGTATCATCTCCTTCTCTCGTATCATCTCCTCCTCTCGTATCATCTCCTCCTCTCGTATCATCTCCTTCACTTCCCCCGAACACTAACAGGACGACGGTGAACCTGAAGGAGACGCACACCTGCATGTCTTTTCCTGTAAAGTCTCTAATCCACAAATAAAACAGAATAACTCTCCTCACAGGTTCTTCTAACAGTTTGAATCAGAGGAGGCTCCTCTTTCCACCACTCAGACGAGGAGGAGGACAAACTGTCTCATATTGTGTCCGTCTGTCTGTCTTGTGTTCCAGCTCCGGTCCTCCCTGGAGCGTACCATCAGGGCGTCCACCAGCAGCAGCAGCAGCATCACGGCTACATGCACCAGACCAGCATGTCGTCCGTCAGATCCGTCACCTCCCCACCGCACGCCGCCACCATGGTACGTTCCATCATATCAGGGTTTTTATTTTAATATTAATTTTCTATTATTTGTTATTTATTATTTATTTTAGGATAAATATCGCTGGTTTCATGCAGCTGGCATAATAATCATAAATATTACTAAAAGTAAAGCACACAGCTATAAAGTCTGTAGCTTAATGTGTCTTTTTTAACGATGGATTAATGCACATTTTCCATTCGATCTATACAGAACATGCTTTTAACAGAATATGTGATATATTAAAAATAATAGAAAACATAACAGAGGATAAGAAGGGACTCTGGGGATTAATTATGTCACATTTTATTTTGATTATATAGAATATGAAATGGTCTTTTTTGGATTTGATTTATTTAAATTCCTCTTTTTTATGCTATTTGATGTTATTATATTTATTAAACTTGTTCTGTACACATATATGTGTGTATATAAACGTTTATGTGTGTAGAGGTTTGTATCTACTGTACATACAAAACATAGAAAATAAAAATATACAAATAAAATAAAATAGAATAAATAAATAAAACACAAGAAAATAAAACAAAACAAATTAAAGAGAAAGCAGCTTTCAGTCCCCGTCATTGGAACTGTATGAACAGGATCAAGAGAATAAGGGGTCACATGTGGAACCTCTCCCTCTGGTCCTGCAGCGGGTCTACCGGGCGCTCTACGACTACGCGGCTCAGGACCACGACGAGGTGTCCTTCAGGGACGGCGACGTCATCGTCAACGCGCAGGCCATCGACGAGGGCTGGATGTACGGCACCGTGCAGCGCACCGGCAAGTCGGGCATGCTGCCGGCCAACTACGTGGAGTTCTGCAACTAGAGGAGGAGGGAGAGTTAAACCCGCCCCCTCACTGTCACTGCTAACCAATCAGCAGTCAGGGATGTTCTCTGCATTTCAGGGACACGGTGAGGTCACAGCCAGATGTGTAGGATCTAATAAAAACATGCAGCCATGACACGATATATAGTCCATCACAGACAACTCAGTGAGCGGGAAATAGACCAGAATGCAATGCAGCTGCAGGGACAGGTATAACATATTTATATTTCTGCCCATTCACTTCTTCTCTAGGGTGTTATTGAAAGGCATTCTGGGAAACGTAGGCAATCACTAACTAAAGAAGAAGCAGTCGTGGCTGAAAAAAAAAATACAAAATAACAGCTGGAATACAGTGAACATCACAGACTGCTGATTCAAGCTGCTGGAGAGTCTGAGGACGGAGGTTTTATCACGTTAATGGGACAGTAGTGAAGTTCAGAAGTGTGGTTGTTTGAGGTACTTCTACCTAGTTTGTGTAGTACTACAGTAGATGTACTACAGCTTCAGTTCTTTATCACAAAGGTCCGTCTGACAGCAAGTTAAAGAGGTGAAAGTATTGTAAATATAGCTTAAAACTTAAACTGATATAGATTCTTTTAGTGTCTAAAACACAACCACAGCAGTACATCTACTGTAGTACTCTGACTAAGTAGAAGTACCTCAAACAAACACACTTCTAAACTATCACTACTGTCCCTTTAAGGAGGAAAGTTTAAATCTCGCATATTACAACTAGAGGACGAAACGAGACGCATGACGAGAGAAGCTCTGAGAGATTAGAAGTCATTTTTATATAAACTGCTGCAACAAACGATATCATATTATTCACGTATTCTTTCTTCAGCTATTGGAATAAGATGGTTTTTGTATAGTGGAGAAAAGAAAGCAGTTCGGTCTGATTCTCGGGTTAAAAGGTTTGAAATGAGTTTGTTTTCTTAAAGTCGTTAAATGCAAAGAGAAGACTGAAGTGAATCACGTTGTGTTTCTCATAGAGCTCCATTAAAAACACATGAATGAGCCACATCGTAGCTCAAACACTCACTAGAGCAGCAAACGTGGATTCATCCACCGCAGAAAATAGTCCCCTATAGAATATATATATGTGTGTGTTTGTAAAAGATTTACATCTCCAGTAGGAACCAATGGGCTTTGAGCTGAGAGCCACAGACAGGAAGTCAGACCGCATTAACAGACGGACTGTTTGGGTTTTTAATTTGAGGTTTTTTTTGGACAATAAGAAAAAACATTTTTACCTTTTTAAGGATGGAGGAGAGTTAAAGAGGAGCAGAGGAAACGTTCTGTGTTTCAGAGAATAAAGAGTCAATAACGTTCTGTATTGTGGGGGGGGGGAACGCGACCAAAGGAAGGAGGGACGAGTTTTTAAGAAGTCAAGAATAACAAAATAAATAGGAAGAGAGTTTAGAGATCTCTCAAGTTGAGTCAGTTATTTATCCTGAGCTTTAAGGTTCAGGTGAGTTTAGTTTTACTTTGAAGCATCACAGCTTCTCACTCACCTCTGTGTTTGTAAAGGACTTCACTAGCTCACTGTGTCTCTCTCTGTTTCTCTTTATAACTATAAACACACACAGAGGCAGTGTTACGTGGACTGCAGGTCTGAACAGACTGTGTGAGACTCTTTTGATACGCGGGCTCCCGTCTGATGTTTGTATCCAGTGAGTCGTGTTTTTAGGGTTCGTTGTCTTGCTGTGCTTTGGTTGCATCCCGGTCGTGTAGACGAATAGAAACGTCGCTCCGCCGTGATTCTAGCTGGAGAGCGTTTTTGATTTCATAAATACTAGATGCAATAGAATATAATTTACTCAGTATTCATATGTTAACTGTGTTGATTTTGGAAGAGGCGCTTTGTGTCGTTTTATAAAAATCTGGCATCTGAGGATTTTTTGGCTTCTTTGTAAAGTTTTCGATTTAGTCTGTATGTCATCACAGATTGTACCAAGTTTATTTACATATTATTTCAAATTATGTATCACTCATTCTCAGTTGTGTTTTGTTTGCCATATGATAATTACAATGTGTTTCATGTGGTAGAAATAAAAAGAGATAATTCAAACAAAGTCAAGTTTGGTTCTTCTCGTTCCGAATCTTACTGTTAATCAGAATTTATACACATATTAATTCATGTTACATATTACAATTACTATGTGCTAATATATTTAGGCATTAACTGTGGAATTACTTGAGGAATAAAATACATTATGGACTTTTAAGAGCTAGAATAAAAGTCATATGTGCCCAACACAAGTGGTTCCAACCCAATATGTTACTACTAGAAAACAATGCCTGTTTTATTGTGTTTACGAACATATACAGACATAGACAAACCGTTAGAAATCATTTTAATAGCTGGTATTATTTGTATACTAATAAAGAATCCGTCAATTAGTTGGTTTCACTCTTTTATTTTGAAATTTGGTCCAGGAACTTCCTTTTTTCTTTTTTACATCTGAAACAGTTAATATGCCTTTTTAAGTTATATTTATTCTTTTTAGATTAAAAAGTCCAATTCTAGAATTGTTTTTGTTTAAAAGTGGGTCATTTTAGCAGCAGTCATGAAAGAAATATTGTTTTATTCTGATTGATTTCCGGACGGCCTATACTTCCGGTGTTTCGTTGAAACCAGTTCCCCCGTAGATTTGTATTTCCACCGAAATGTAACCTGAACACAGAATCCTCTTAATGTTCCTCTTAAAATAAATGCTTAACTTCAAACTACTCTTAGTCTGACACCAACTTAACGACGCTTAACCACAACGTAACCAAAGTCACTGAGGACAGGGTTGAGAGAGGGATAATTTGAACGGTTAACAGACTTCACCACAACACCTACTGGTCCGTATCTTTTACGCATGCGTACTTATAATAATAGTACCGGAAGCGGCTCTTACACAGCTTGGCTGTCTCTCTACACACTGACTGAGAAAACGCACTGATTTCGGCTTCAAAAATGATGAAGTGTCTCCCTAAACTGCTGCTGCTTGCGCTGTTAGCCTTCCCGGCGACCCTCCTCATCAAAGGTAAGTCTTAAATATGGCGGCTCGGGGTGGGTGAACTGTGTTTAATTAGCTAATGAGCTTCAACATGCTAGTTTTAGCTAGCTCGGCTACCGGAAAGCCGTTGACATGTGCTAGCTTAAAGTAACTGGATATATAAAAACGAGGTGCTTTTTCACTCTTCCGTGGAGTTTACAACATATTTAAATGAAGCGCTTTCTTATTTTTATTGTGTAATAGATGACGTTTATAATACACCGTGTGCAAATGCATGCCGTTTATCTGGCTGCTTAGACTGACGTGTCCTTAGCCTGTTAGCTGTTAGCCTTGGAGCTAACTAGCTCTGTTAGCTGTTAGCCTCGGAGCTAAGTAGCTCTGTTTGCTGTCACTCAGTCACCTCAGAGGTAAATATTGTACTCTTTACTGTCCTACATCTCAGTTATTATACTTTTTACTGTACACATTTGAGATAAACTGAAGGATGAAGTGTTCCTTTGTGTTGATGATGAATGTTTGTGATAAACTGAAGGATGAAGTGTTCCTTTACGTGTTGATGATGAATGTTTGT